TTCCCTTCCTCTTAATTAAATTTACACAATGGTAGTGTTCACACACCACTATTAAAATTGTTAGCTTCCAAATGGGAAGTCCAGGCTCTCTTTGTTTGTTAGGGCTAAGGTTTCAATGAACTAAATCCAGAAAATCAGTAACCATGTGAATGTAGGCCCTCTGATCTATTGCCGTTTAGATCAGGGGTAGTCAACCTTGGCTCTTTTATGACTCATGGACTTCAACTCCCAGAATTCCTGAGCCAGCTAAGCTGGCTCAGGAATTTTGGGAATTGAAGTCTACGAGTCATAAAAGAGCCAAGGTTGACTACCCCTGGTTTAGATAGTAACCTAGGAACAATATTTCCAACTGATATACTTTATTAATATGTAAGCAATCAGAATACCATAATCCAAGATTGTTATTTTACTTTTTCCAGCTAGGTGGCAGCCTCTAGTTAACCTTGGCTAATTTTGCTGATTAACATATTTTGGATCTGGTCAGTAGTTGGATGGGGGTTATAGGAGATCCCAGGGCTGTAAGCTAAATTGGGAAGTTGAGAGAACAGCAACAGCAAGCAATGACTACACCCCTCCGTTAACCTCTGTTTATCTGCCGCAATAAAACTGCACAAATACATCTCTCTGGTCTAAGCCCTGGAGATTTTCCTAACCTGCTTTGTTAGGCCCTTAATACTCTATTATTCCACCCCATTCTGTCCTCTAAGGGGCTTTTGAAATAAGCCTTTTTGTCTGGAAAATCCTTTGCAAAATACCATGCATTCAGAGGGTGCTCTACAAATAAGAATAAAAGATCAAGCTGTGCAGCGATTTAAGATGTGCAAGCAAATGATTCCCAAATTGATTTGCATTAACTACATACAGGGATGCTATAAACAGAAACAATTTTTGCAGAATGCATCATCCACCACAATTATTGTCTAAAATTATCCTTAAGCCCCCCCAGGGAAAAATCCCCCCCCCCCCCGCTGCCTCTTTCACCTTCCAGCAAAAACCCCCTCCCCCTCCTTCTTACCTGGAGCCGCCTCACCTGTCCTTTAAAGATGCTCAGTCTTTCTGCAATTCTTCCCTTTGCAACGGCTCCGGTAGGGGGCCACCTCGCGCAAGTCAAAGATGCCCGAGCCCACTAAAAACTACACCTCCCATCGGTCCATTGAGCGCGAATTCGGGCATCGGCCTTTGAAGGCACGCCGGGAATAGTAGTCCGGCTGAAAACAAGCAGCGGGATTGGATGAGAGGTGCGCTTGCGCACTCGAATCCAAATGAATTTTTTTTCCCTCTCTTTTGGACATTGGACTAAATGTCCCATGACGCTCCGCGGCTTTTTCCCCCATTGGGAAAGCCGGGGAGAGCGGCGAACGGCATGACGGGAGCTGTAGGCCTCGCGTTCTGAGGGGAAAGTAGCGACCATGGCGGCGGCCTTCCCCAAGGCCCCGAAGAAGCCCGAGGAAGCCGGCAAGGCGACGGAGGCGGCCGTGCCGCTGCAGTACAGCCTCCTGCTGGATTACCTGGTGGGCGAAAAGCGAGGCCCGAGGCCGGATTTCCCGCCGGGCGTCCTCGGAGGCTTCCCGGCGCCCGTCAAGAGTCCCGAGCAGAAGATGGTCGAGCGCGCCATGGAGAGCTGCGCCTTCAAGGCGGCGCTGGCCTGTGTCGGCGGTGGGTGTTTCTGAGGGGGCCTCGAAGGCCGACTTTTCACCCCTCTGCCTCGCCAGGACTACAGCATCCCTCACCCACCACGCCTGCGATATTCCAGTTGACCGCTAGAGGGTGGCAGAGAGAAACATCTGCAGTTCTTTCTTGCCCCCTGGCGGCCATGGCGAGAATTGCAGCTTTGTGTGCCAGTCCTGTTTGGGCGCCCAGGAGTGGGTGGGGAGGATGGGAGGTGTAGTTAGCCGGAAAACGTGTTTTAAGTTATTTTATTTTCATTCCTTAATTCAGGGGTCTTCAAACTTGGCCTCTTTAAGACTTGTGGACTTCAACTCCCAGAATTCCTCAGCCAGCCCTGGCTGGCTGAGGAATTCTGGGAGTTGAAGTCCACAAGCCGGCTGACTGGCTGGCTGAGGAATTCTGGGAGTTGAAGCCCACAAGCTAGCTGACTGGCTGGCTGAGGAATCATGGGAGTTGGTCCCCAAGTTGGCTAACTGGCTGGCTGAGGAATTCTGGGAGTTAGTCCACAAGTCGACTGGCTGGCTGAGGAATTCTGGGAGTTGAAGTCCACAAGCTGGCTGACTGGCTGGCTGAGGAATTCTGGGAGTTGAAGTCCACAAGCCGGCTGACTGGCTGGCTGAGGAATTCTGGGAGTTGAAGCCCACAAGCTAGCTGACTGGCTGGCTGAGGAATCATGGGAGTTGGTCCCCAAGTTGGCTAACTGGCTGGCTGAGGAATTCTGGGAGTTAGTCCACAAGTCGACTGGCTGGCTGAGGAATTCTGGGAGTTGAAGTCCACAAGCTGGCTGACTGGCTGGCTGAGGAATTCTGGGAGTTGAAGTCCACAAGCCGGCTGACTGGCTGGCTGAGGAATTCTGGGAGTTGAAGCCCACAAGCCAGCTGACTGGCTGGCTGAGGAATCATGGGAGTTGGTCCCCAAGTTGGCTAACTGGCTGGCTGAGGAATTCTGGGAGTTAGTCCACAAGTCGACTGGCTGGCTGAGGAATTCTGGGAGTTGAAGTCCACAAGCCGGCTGACTGGCTGACTGAGGAATTCTGGGAGTTGAAGTCCACAAGCCGGCTGACTGGCTGGCTGAGGAATTCTGGGAGTTGATCCACAAGCCGGCTGACTGGCTGGCTGAGGAATCATGGGAGTTGGTCCCCAACCTGGCTAACTGGCTGGCTGAGGAATTCTGGGAGTTAGTCCACAAGTCAACTGGCTGGCTGAGGAATTCTGGGAGTTGAAGTCCACAAGCCGGCTGACTGGCTGGCTGAGGAATTCTGGGAGTTGAAGTCCACAAGCTGGCTGGCTGAGGGAGTTGAAGTCCACAACCCAGCTGACTGGCTGGCTGAGGAATTCTGGGAGTTGAAGTCCACAAGTCTTAAAGTGGCCAAGTTTGAAGACTCTTGCATTAATTTAACTATTGGCCACTCTTCTCAAATTAGCTCTCTCTCTTTTTATTGAATTTATGAAATTTAGCTACTGTCCTTGTCTATTGACCCTTTTTTATTGTCGTAAATAACTCAAGGCAGGGAACACACGCAATGCTGCTTCATCCTCTTGCTTTCCTCACAACAACTCCCCTATGAGGTGGGCTGGGCTGAAAGAGACAGGGGGATTGGCCCAAAATTATTCAGCCAGCCTTTGTGCTTTAAGGCGGGACTAGAACTCACCCTCTCCTGGTGATTGGCCCAAAGGCTTTCATGGCTAAGGCAGAATTCCAGATGATTGGCTCAAAGTCACCCACCTGGCTTTCATAGCTAAGACGGGACTAGAACTCACCCTCTCCTGGTGATTGGCCCAAAGTCAGCCAGCCGGTTTTCAAGCTTAAGTGGGACTAGAACTCACCGTCTCCTAGCGATTAGCCCAAAGTCACCTAGCTGGCTTTCATGCCTAAGGCGGGACTAGAACTCACCGTCTCCTGGTGATTGGCTCAAAGTCACCCAGCTGGTTTTCCTACCTAAGGCAGGACTAGAATTCACCATCTCCGAGCAAAGTGACTGGGTGAAGCCAGGTTCACTTAATGACCAAATGATTCACTTAACAACTGCAGGGATTCACTTAGCTATGTCAAGAACTGTCTTAACAGCGGCAAAACTCGCTGAACAGCTGTCTTGCTTACCAACAGAAATGTTGCGCTCAGATTGTGGTCGTAAGTGAAGGACTGTCTATGTGACAATCTTGTACAGTGGAAGGAGCACGAAAGCAAGCCTTTTGACCCCCGTTTGCAGGACTGTCCAGAGAGGCGTCCATCGTTTTGACTGACTGCTTTATGATTCTGATCTGCCAGGCTTCGTGCTGGGGGGCGCCTTTGGCGTGTTCACCGCTGGCATCGACACCAACGTGGGATTTGACCCGAAGGATCCGTACCGCACACCGACAGCCAGAGAGGTCTTGAAAGATATGGGGCAACGGGGCATGTCGTACGCCAAAAACTTTGCCATTGTGGGTGCCATGTTCTCCTGCACTGAGTGCCTGGTGGAATCTGTGAGTAACTTCCTTGTCTTGATCTTGATTGATAAAAGGGTAAGGAGGCTAAATCGTACGATGAAGGGTTGAGGGAAAGGGAGCTAAGTATGTCTAGCCCAGGGGTAGGCAACCGTGGCTCTTTTATGACTGGTGGACTTCAACTCCCAGAATTCCTGAGCCAGCATGGGGGAACTATGGCCCCTTCGTGACTCCTGGACTTCAACTCCCAGAATTCCTGAGCCAGCATGGGGGAATTATGGCCCCTTCATGACTCGTGGACTTCAACTCCCAGAATTCCTGAGCCAGCATGGGGGAACTATGGCCCCCTTCATGACTGGTGGACTTCAACTCCCAGAATTCCTGAGCCAGCATGGGGGAACTATGGCTCTTTTATGACTCGTGGACTTCAACTCCCAGAATTCCTGAGCCAGCATGGGGGAACTATGGCCCCCTTCATGACTGGTGGACTTCAACTCCCAGAATTCCTGAGCCAGCATGGGGGAACTGTGGTAAATAAAATAAAAACCAGAAAGTGGAAAAAACAGCCTCACTTTTTAGAAGAATGGAATGGAATCGAATGAGAATCAATTAGAATTAGGAATGAATAGAAATAGGAATATAATAGAATAGAATAATATGGAATAAAATAGAATATAAAATAGAGCAGAGTAGAATAGAATAGAATAGAATAGAATTGGAAATAGAATATAGAATAGAATAGAACAGAACAGAACAGAATAATGAATAGAATAATGAGTAGAATAGTATAATGAATAGAATAGAATAGGAATAAGAATGAGGAATAGAATAGAATAGAATATAGAATAGAATAGAATAGAACAGAACAGAACAGAATAATGAATAGAATAATAGTATAATAAATAGAATAGAATAGGAATGAGAATGAGGAATAGAATAGAATATAGAATAGAATAGAATAATGAAAATAGAATAGAATTATGAAAGAACAGAATAGAATAGAATGAGTCGGAAGGTCATCTAGTCCAACCCCCTGCTCAGGCAGGAAACCCTCTACCATTTCAGACCCAGGGCTGTCCAATCTCTTCTTAAAGACCTCCAGTGTTGGATGAGATGCTCAAAGGAGCGATCCCTGCGGACGGTGGCCTTGACAGCCTCTTTCTTGCTTCCCTAGTACCGAGGCAAATCCGACTGGAAGAACAGCGTCACCAGCGGATGCATCACCGGCGGGGCCATCGGTTTCAGAGGTGAGTGCTGCCTTCCAGCCGTTGGAGAAGCTCCAGGAGGAGCACATTCCACCATGCAACTGGGGCCCAGGCATTCCTGTTACCAGGAAGCTGTGCTTGGCACGCAACCGCGGCTGCTGCTGGCTGAAGCCGAGGGATGGGCTTGCCAGAACGTGGGCAGCGTGCCACTGTTTCTGGGATTTGGGATTTGCAGCTGACACGTCTCCCGGGGACGCCAAGAGGGAAGGAAGTTTCTTATTAAGCAGGGTTCAAACGGGGCAAGTGCCTCGTTGGCAGTGGAAATCTTTATAGTTATTTCATTTTTTTAAAAGCTGGGCCAGCAGAGTTTTTCTCTTTTTACAATCCCAAGCTCTAATGTTCCCTAACGTTAATCTCTGAGTAAGCACTTTATGTTGAACTGGATTGATTAAAAAAAAAAAAAAATGGGGGGGGGCTGTGTCTATGGAGATTCTCAAATCATCCAGGCCACGGTGGTGGTCCCAAAGGCGCTTTTTCAAAAGGCAACTGGATTCTTCTTGAATTTTTTTCCTTGAAAATGTTTTGCTTCTTAGGTTCTGCTAAACCAGTGGTTCTCCACCTGTGGGTCGGGACCCCATTTGGGGTCGAACGACCATTTCACGGGAGTCGCCAAACAACGCAGTCCGCCATTTTTTTCCCCCTTTTCCTTAGCTGTGCTCCTCCCTTTTATTCTGTTGGCTTTTGAAAGCCAATCGAATAGACTCTCTTGAATAGAGTCTAATTCTATTGGCTTTCCAAAGCCAATAGGAATTGTCCAGGCTGTCTCTGCCCTACTGAGCCCGCCAAAAGTCCCATTCTGCAAACGGTGCTGCACCAGTTGAGTAGTCCTCGACTTACGACTGGTTGAGCAGTCCTCGACTTACGACCGGTTGGGGGTTGCGGCATTAAAAAGGTTGAGAACCACTGTGCTAAACTGAACTGACTTGAAATTAAAGAAGCTTCTTGGATGAGACCTTTTTTAGGGGAAAAAAAACCCCAATAAAGCCCAATTGGCTTGTGGAAAAGCACCTTTGGGTTTTTGGGGGAGAGCTACAGCAGTTTTGGAGTCTGTTCCTTCTTCAGAGCTTCTGGGGGTACCCTTCCCTAATGAGGTTTATAAATGGTGGGTGAACCAAGAAATAAAGCCAACGTAAACCATGATGGTCTGTGGTGCATGAATCTGACCCAGTATTTCTCAACCTTGGCAACTTGGCAAGACATGTTGACTTCAACTCCCAGAATTCCCCAGGGAACATGCTTTAACAGGGGTGGACTTCAGCTCCCAGAATTCTCCAGCCAGCATGCTTTTAAGATGGGTGGGCTTCAGTTCCCAGAATTCCTCAGCCAGCAGACTTTAAGAGGGGTGGGCTTCTATTGCCAGAATTCCCCAGCCAGCCATGCTTTAAGATGGATGGATTTTCACTTCCAGAATCCCCCAGCCAGTCTGCTTTAAGATGGGTTGACTTCAACTCCCAGAATCCCCCAGCCAGCATGCTTTAAGATGGGTGGACCTACCCTCTGAGAATTCCCCAGCCAGTCATGCTTTAAGATGGGCGGGCTTCAGCTCCCAGAATACCCGAGCCAGCAAGGTTCTCCCATTTGACCTTTCATGAGGCCTAGAAACCTGGTTCTGTCCCTGAACCTGGTGTCCCAGGCATAGGATGGAGCCCATTTCTGGGCTATGTTAATGATTGGTTAGACGGTGCCTGGCTGCTATGTTTTATTTTCATTTAATGTTGTGTATTTTACTGTAAGTGGCCTAGAGTCTCGTAAAAATGAGATGGGTAGCTATATACAAGCAGCGCTCAACTTATGACCGTAATTGAGCCCAGAGTTACGGTTGTGAATTCTGCCAGTCATTAAGCAAGCACACCTGATTTTACGGCTTTTTTTTCAAATAGTCATTAAGTGAATGCTGCCATTCAAAGAACATGGTGGCTGTTATGTGAACACGGTCGCTAAGTGAACCCCTTATTGTACCCATCGTGGGATATTGCCAACAGCCATCAATGTGGGCTGGTTGCTAAGGGCCCCCAATGCAATCACAAGGTCCCAGGGAGGGGGGGGAAACAGCCATTGGAACATTTAGACTGGGTCGTCAGTAGCTCTGGGGCGTTCCACTGTAACTTTGACCGGTCGCTAAGTCAGAGTTCCTCAAGCTTTCCGGGTTGGCGGCCTGGAGAGGTGGAGGGAGAAAAGAGAGGATAGTTTTGTAGGAGGGGAAGGCATGTGAGATGTATGATGTAATGATGGGGACGACTCAGCAGGGTCTGTCCCTTTAAGAGCCAGCTGGGAGGAGTGTCAAGGTATTGCTCTAACAGCTAACCAGCTTATGTAATGTAAGATGTAATGATGGGAATGAGTCAGCAGGGTCTGTGTCTCTTTAAGAGCCAGCAGGGTCTGTGTCCCTTTAAGAGCCAGCAGGGTCAGTGTCCCTTTAAGAGCCAGAAGGGTCAGTGTCTCTTTAAGAGCCAGAAGGGTCAGTGTCCTTTAAGAGCCAGCAGGGTTTGTGTCCCTTTAAGAGCCAGCAGGGTCTCTGTCCCTTTAAGAGCCAGCAGGGTCTGTGTCCCTTTAAGAGCCAGCAGGGTCTGTGTCCCTTTAAGAGCTTTTGTATAAAAGGGAAGGTTTTGCTGCTGTGTTCTCTCCTATTTCCTGCTGTAACTGCTATGTGTTGGAGCCTGCTGTATTAACAGGTGTTTGTATATTGTTCCTTGTGTATGATATGGTAGATAGTGTAAGACAGTGATGGCGAACCTTTTAGAGACCAAGTGCCCAAAAACTGGCCCTGCTCCTGCTCTGCCCCCTGCCTCACCCCCGCTCTGCCCCCATCCCCCACCCCACCTGCCCGCAGGGCCACTCACCCCACCCACCGCAGATCACCCAGGCAGCCCAACATCGCTATGGTGGTCACACCCTCTGCCCGCGCCCTGCAGCATCAACTGCATGATGGGGTGTGAGGGCAGAGTCTTGTCTACGCTGCGTGGCTGCCATGTCCTTGGCTCCGCTGCTCCGCGTGGGCTACGCTCAGGGGCGGCTCTCCTTCAGGGGGGCTGCTGGAGAGGAGGGGGTCGCAGGGGGAGGCAAGGCTGGGGCAACAGCACGTGTGCCCACAGAGAGGGTCCCAAGTGCCGCCTCTGGCACCCGTGCCATAGGTTCGCCATCACTGGCGTAAGATAAACCACCATTTAATATAGACCACAGTTTACTGTGTTTCCTCCCGGGTAATCTCAGCGCAATAAGACTGCATGCTCTGACACGCATGCACGAGCATGTTGCTCACGCACGTGAGGCCGAGAGGACTCGTGAAGCTCGCGTGAGTGGGGCCCCGAGCACCCGCGACACACACCAACCAGCCACTCACGCGGCCTGGTTGCGAACAGGCCACGGCCCACAGGTTGGGGACCCCTGTCGCAAGTTGAGGATTACCTGTAAATCGAACACCCGAATTGTAAACAAATGTATGCTTGACTTCTTCTCCTTGTTTCCTTGCAGCTGGCCTGAAAGCCGGGGTCCTCGGCTGCGGGGGCTTTGCCGCCTTCTCCGCAGTGATTGACTACTACTTACGGTAGCAGCTGGGGCCTACCAACCAGGACCTTCCAATCTCGGCTGCGGAGGGACAGCAGGCCCGGTGGGCATCTCGAGCCCCCCGTTAACCCAGCCGGTGAGAATCCCAAACCCGCCACGGTTAGGGAAACCACGGAGGAAGAATCCCCCTTGGTCAGCTCTTGAGACCTTCTGCTTCGATTCTGGAAACGAGCAGCTGGGATATTTTATATTTTATCGCCCTTCCCTCCCAAAAGAGTATCTTTTAAGTTCTGCCGGCGTTTGGATTGGGAAGAACACAAAACGTTGCCTTGTCGTTGTTTTTTCCCAACGTGTCCCACATTTTTTTTTACCCACAGTCAAGTGGTAACCGGCTAATAAAACGGGAACAGTTTTTTCAATTTTCAGAGGTTTTGGAGTTGTAAATGTTCAGCAGTTTGTGGCTGGAACTCAGATGGCAGCTGGGGGGCTCTTGACGGTGTCGGCCGATCGACTGCCAGCCGCCTCTGGAATTCGTCCTCAGGTTACGACAATTGAATCCCAACGTGTTTGTGTGGCTCAGCGTTTTACGACTTTTCCGTTGGCCCCGTTTTACGACCTTTCCTGCCAGGGTTGTTAAGGGAGTCACTGCCATGGTTAAGTTAGCAGCACGATTGTTAAGTGAATCCGCCCCCCCCCTTTTGCTTTGCTTCCGAGAAGGTCACAAAAGGGAATCACACGAACCCGGGACACTGGGACCATCGTAGATATGAATCCGCTGCCAAGCGTCTGACTTTTGACCCTGGGGATGCTACGACGGTCGTTAAGTGTGGAAGACGATCAGAAGTCGCTTTTTCTCCGCGCCATTGTAACTTCAAATAGTCACTAAACAAATGTAATATTTGCAGCAAAGGTTGTTTTTGACGGGTAATAATAATAAATAAATAAAGTTGGAAGGGACCTTTGAGGTCATCTAGTCCAACCCCCTGGAAACCCTATACCATTTCGGACAAATGGCTGTCCAGTCTCTTCTTAAAAACTTCCAGTGTTGGAGCTGCTTCTGAAGGCAAGGAGTTCCACTGGTTAATTGCTCTAACAGTTAGGAAGTTTCTCCTTAGTTCCAGGTTGCTTCTCTCCTTGGTTAGTTTCCATCTGTTGCTTCTTGTCCTGCCTTCAGGTACTTTGGAGACTAGCTTGACTCCCTCTTCTTTGAGGCAGCCCCTGAGATACTGGAAGGCTGCTGTCATGTCCCCCCCCCCCTTGTCCTTCTCTTCATTAAACTAGACATACCCAATTCCAGCAGCCTTTCCTTATATGTTTTAGCCTTCGATCCCTTAACTAGTGACATCATCAACGTACGTATGTTGAGGACTAGCTTAATGGTGTTTGAGTTTGTTGACCCCTTCTGTGGGGCAGCCCTTCAAATATTGGAATGCTACTCTAGTATCCTTTAAGGCAGTGGTTCTCAACCTGTGGGTCGGGACCCCATTTGGGGTCGAACGACCATTTCACGGGGGTCCCCAAACAACGCAGTCCGCCATTTTTTTCCCGCTTTTCCTTAGCTGTGCTACTCCCTTTTATTCTATTGGCTTTTGAAAGCCAATAGGATAGACTCTCTTGAATAGAGTCTAATTCTATTGGCTTTCAAAAGCCAATAGGAATGGTTCAGGCCGTCTCTGCCCTGCTGAGCCCGCCAAAAGCCCCATTCTGCAAACGGTGCTGCACCAGTTGAGTAGTCCTCGACTTACGACCGGTTGGGGGGTCGTGGCATTAAAAAGGTTGAGAACCACTGCTTTAAGGATTGTTGTATCATAACCCTTAAAGATACTGCTCTAATATATTATATAGCATATGGTAAATACTGCTATAGCATTCTTTAGGGATTGTGCCTCAAAAGATCTGGAAGGGGATCCAGTGGGAGTCTTCCAGCATGGATAGCAAAATAACAGAGCTGAAAGGGACCTTCGAGGTCTTCTAGTCCAGCCCTCTGCTCAAGCAGGAGACCTTAGACCAGGCTAGGCAATCTTGGCTCTTTTATGACTCGTGGACTTCTACTCCCAGAATTCCTGAGCCAGCCATGCTGAAGGAAAAGGGAGAGGTTTCCAAGCTGAGCCATGCTGGCTCAGGAATTCTGGGAGTTGAAGTCCATGAGTCATCCAGGGGGCCACAGTTCCCCCATGCTGGCTCAGGAATTCTGGGAGTTGAAGTCCACCAGTCATAAAAGAGCCAAGGGTGCCTACCCCTGCCCTAGACCATTCCAGACAGGTGGCTATCCAGTCTCTTCTTGGAAACACCCCCCCAGTGACGGAGCGCCCACAACATCTGGTGGCAAGCCGTTCCACTGGTTCATTGCTCTCCCTGTCAGGAAGTTTCTCCTTAATTCCAGGTTGCTTCTCTCCTTGAATTTTGAATTGGAAGTTTCTTTTATCCCATCCATCTTCCAGCAATAACTCCTGCCATCTAGTTGAGAGTGGACTCATTTGACCCGGGCTTTGAGCAGACCCGCATGTCGGAAACACTCCTGGAAAATGGAGGGGGGGAACAATTGTTTTTTCTGCCAACTCTGGGGAGGCGAGTAGGTTGAAACAAGGGAAACGGCACTCCCCCAAAATCTGTTCCCCCCCCCCATTATGCAACCGCATTATGTAATGCTTTTACATAAGCCACACATGGAGCGGGCAGGGTGTGTGTGTTAGAAATCACAACACGACACTCTTTCAGGGAAACGGTGCGCCCTGCCTGCAAAGAGGATAGTGATGGAAAGGAGTCTTTCTGGCAGCGGTTAAATAGGGACAAACGGCTTAAAATAAATGTGGGGACAGACTAGGGCAGGAGTAGGCAACCTCGGCTCTTTTATGACTCGTGGACTTAACTCCCAGAATTCCTGAGCCAGCCATGCTGAGGGGAAAGGGAGATTTCCAAGCTGAGCCACGCTGGCTGAGGAATTCTGGGAGTTGAAGTCCACAAGTCATAAAGGGAGCCATAGTTCCCCATGCTGGCTGAGGAATTCTGGGAGTTGAAGTCCACGAGTCATAAAGGGAGCCATAGTTCTCCCATGCTGGCTCAGGAATTCTGGGAGTTGAAGTCCACCAGTCATAAAGGGGGCCATAGTTCCCCATGCTGGCTGAGGAATTCTGGGAGTTGAAGTCCATGAGTCATAATAGAGCCGAGGTTGCCTACCCCTGGACTAGGGTCACCTTGAGGCTTGTTTTTCCTTCCGTCAGAAGACCGAGTTAGCAGAGGAAGGAAAGGGCATCGCTGGAGAAGCGGGGAAGGGCATCCGTGTTCCCTGACACTGGCTACGCGGTCACGGTCACAAAACAGGTTGTCCTTGATTGCAACAATTCGTCCAACGACTTTTGAAGTTGCGGCGGCACCGGAAGAAGTGACTTCTGACCGTTTTTCACACTTACGACCGTTGCCGCATCCTTACGGTCCAGTGATCAAAATTCAGACGATGCTTGGCAACTGACTCATATTTATGACGGTCGCAGTGTCGTCCCCCCGGGTCACGCGATCCCCTTTTTTGACTTTCTGACTGGCAAAGTCAACGGGGAAGCCGGATTCGCCGCAATCGTTACTAACTTAATGGCGGCGATTCACTTAGCGACACCGAAGGAAAGGTCGTAAAATGGGGCAAAACGCACTCAACACATTCCTTACTTAGCGACACGGAATCTTGGGCTCCGTTGTGGCCGTCACCCACGCGGCCCCCTTTTGCCACCTTCTGACGAGCAAAGTCAACGGGGGAAGCCGGATTCACTTAATGACGGTGTTCCTCACTGCAACCCCCCGCAGCAATTCACTTAACAACAGTGAAGGAAAGGTGGTAAAGTGGGGCAAAACTCAAACCAATTTCTCGCTTAGCGACATAAGTTTTGGGCTGAAGAAATAGGGCACAACTCATGTAATTGCCCTCTCACCTAGCAACAGAAATTTGGGGCTCAAGATTCATAGTCGTAAGCCGAAGACTCCGTGTAGGATTGTTCACTTGTGAATGGTGCCCATTCTGGGCGTGCAGCTGTGGCCTTTGCACAGCTTTATCTGATGTACGGTTGTGCCCGTCCCTTAACTGGGAAGTCTTTCCAACAGTATATCCTGGTCACCTGATGGCTTGACTACTACAATGCACCCTACATGGGGACTGCCCTGGAAAAGCACCCAGGAAGCTTCAACTGGTCCAGCGTACAAATGGCACAAGAAGGGACAATGCATCCCTTAGGGCAGGGGTCTTCCAACATGGCCCTTTGATGACTTGTGGACCAACTCCCAGAATTCCTCAGCCAGGATGCTTTAAGACAGGGATCTTCAAACCTTGGCCCTTTTGTGATTTGTGGACTTCAACTCCCAGAATTCCTCAGCCAGGCACGCTAGCTGAGGAATTCTAGGAGTTGAAGTCCACAAGCTGGGGTCTTCCAACTTGTCCCTTTTATGACTTGTGGACTTCAACTCCCAGAATTCCTCAGCCAGGCACGCTAGCTGAGGAATTCTGGGAGTTGAAGTCCACAAGCTGGGGTCTTCCAACTTGGCCCTTTTATAACTTGTGGACTTCAACTCCCAGAATTCCTCAGACAGGCACACGTCATCAAAGGGCCAAGCTGGAAGACCCCTGCCTTAGGGTCATGAGATCCAAATTCGAACGCTTGGCAACTGGGTTCCTATTTACGACGGTCCCCTTGACCCCCTTTTGTGACCTTCTCACAAAAGGGAAGTCAGATTCGCTTAACCATCATGCGAGTAACTTAACAACTGCACTGATTCCTCTCTCTTAGCCATTGTGGCAAAAAAAGATGGTCACACGGGACAAAATTTACTGAACTGTCTCGCTCAGCAAGGGAAAATTTGGGCCATTAAGTCGAGGACTGCCCGTATCTTGGGTTCGGCTCCTGACACCCAGCCGGTTTATAGACCCAAACCAGCCGTGCGAACAGGCGTCTCAAGGGACACCCGACAGCAGGACCACAAAAACCATCCGCCTTGCCTTTTCCATGGCAACCACCCTCATTAAGAGAATTATTATAATTGCCAAGTTGCCTAATTAAGCTCTGGTGTGGTTTTCATTTCTTATGACCCTCACATGGTGGATTGTCCTAGGAGGACAGGAGAGTTGCAGATCCCAGCTTCTATAGGCAAAGTAGGAGCAGAACACAGGCAGTCCTCGACTTAACGACCGCCACGTGGCCCAAAACATCTGCCGTTAAGTGAGACCTCTGTTAACTGAGCTTTGCCCCGTTTTACGACCGTTCTGGCCACAGTTGTGAAGCGACTCGCTGTAGTTGATAAGTCAAGTCACCCGGTCGTTAAGCGAATCCGGCTTCCCCATTGGCTTTGCTTGTCGTAAAGAGGTCGCAAAAGAGGGGAATCGCGTGACACCCCCTCCCCCGGGACGCTGCGCCCGTCATAAATACGAGTCGGTTGCCGAGCCTCTGAATTTTGATCACGCGAAGCTACGGGGAAGCTGCGACGGTCGTTAAGTGTGCAAAACGGTCATAAGTCGCTTTTTTCAGTGTTCAGTTGTAACTTTCAATGGTCATTAAACGAACTGTTGTACAAAATTGGTCCGATTTTGTTCTGGACATTCCAGCGGTAAGGATTGCCCTTGCGATGGTTGAATACGTACGACGTATGACCGTTCGCTTAGTGACCATTTGAAGTTACAACGGCACAGAAAGAAAGTGTCCTGTGAAAGTTTTGCAGCATCCCCAGAATCAAACCCACAAATGGTATAGGCCAGGGTTTCCTGCCTGAGCAGAGGGTTGGACTAGATGACCTCCAAGGTCCCTTCCAACTCAACAAATGTTTCGCTTAGCGACAGAAACGTTCAGCTCAATTGCGGTCGTTAACTCGACCACAATTAGCTGTATTCACACAGCCTGTTGGATTCATGTGAACCTTGGCAATCTTTGTCTTCCTTTACGTGTGGTGTGAGCCCATTCCTTTCGGGTGTATTTGTCACGCAGGAGCCTCTAGCCGGTGTGAACCCGAACGCGAAACCCAAGTGAGCCTGTGGAGCCGAAGTCGTTGTGGTTGTGAGATGTGGGTCCAAAACAACAGCGCACCCCAAGTCATGTTTGCAAACCTATGGCCTCTGCCTTTATGAACATCTTTTAATCTTTTTTAGACATAGTTTTTTGTTTTTTATCCACTGAAGTTTGTCATCTACAGGGAAAAAAAAGAAACCTGCAACAGAAGAGAACCACGCACGCCCACACGCACGCACGCACACCTTGCAAATACACCTACGCACAAACACGTCTGTGTGTTTGTGTATATATTTCTGAATTCCAATGTCGCTCCCAAGTGTCTCGTCCAGTCGGAGCCCCAGTTTCTTCTCCCTCCCTCCCACTTTATCTCAAGGAGCCAAAAAAAAAAAAAAAGGAAAGTTGTGACTGTACACAACACAACAAGGGAGGGGAAATGTCTTAGATCTTCTTCGTAGGGGTGATTCTGTCTATAAACGGGGCTTTCTAGCCAAAGAGCTAAATGCCATGTAGGCGTGACAAACACAAATTGTCTTCCACTTAACCTTTAGTAACGGTTCAGTTACAATAGTGTTGGGGGAAAAAAGGGACTTACGACCGGTCCTCACACTTATGGCCTGTCCTCACACTTACGACGGTTACACCATTCCCACAATCAAAATTTAGACAACAGGCACATACATAACAACAGTTGCAACATCCGGGATATCGTAGGATTTCCCATTTTGTGACCTTTCCCAGCTGGCTTCTAACAAGCAGTGTCAACCGGGGGGGGGGGGGAGCCTGATTTGCTTAATGGCTGCACAATTCACTTAACGACTGCAGCGATTCGCTTCACAACCGTGGCCAAAAAAAGGGTCACATTTTGCAGTGCAATCCAGCTTCAAGTAAATCGACATATATTTGGTCCCTGAACACGGTGTCACGTCACCTTCCTGCCCACGCTGCTCATGTCGGATGTTCTTTGCTTTGACAACTGCCCCTTTGAGGGAAGAAGTAGCCTATAATGTGCGGGACGGATGTGGGGATAACTTCTTTGGTTGGGGGGGGGGTAGTTGGCAAGAAAACGTAGTCCTGGGGTGGGGTGGGGTCTGCAGGGCCCCCCCAGGGAAACAGGCCATCCCGTGAGCGAGGGTCTTAATTGAAAAGCAGCTTTTCTCGGTCTAAAAAGAGCATTTTAAAAGCCCAGCAAACTCTGCCAGCGCGCCTGGCACCGTTGTCGTCTTTATTTCAGGTAGTCCTCGACTTAACAACGGTTCACTCAGTGACCGTTCAAAGCTTCAACGGCACTGGGGGAAAAAAAAGGGACGTAGAACCGTTTTTCACGCTTAACGAACCGCCGTGACGTCCCCCGCGGCCTCGCGGTCGAAATTCAAATGCTTGGCAACCGACTGCTATTTAGGATGGTCGCGGTGTCCCGTGTGTGCGTGTGTGTGTGTGTGTGTGTGTGCGCGCGACCCAATTCCCCTTTTGCGACCTTCCGACAAGTTGGGGGGGGGGGAAGCCAGACTAATTTCATTAACAACGGCGGCAGTTCGCTGAACGACCTGTGGCAAGGTCGTAAAATGGGGCACAATGCGCTCACGACACCCTACGTCGCGCTTAGCAGCAGAACTGCTGGGCTCAATCGAGGCCGTTAGGTCGAGGACTACTGTATTTATTCACTAAGAAATTTATACGGATTGCCCGGTTGACGCACGTAGAGGATTCCGTACAGCTTACAAAATTAAAATAATAATAATAATAATAATAATAATACTAAGGCGTTGCTCAGCTTCTGGCCCCTCTCTCTGGTCTTTTGACCCGAACAAATGGATGTGGAAAGAGGGAGAAGGAGAGAGAAAGACAGCTCCTAAGTCACCTTCTCGCCCAGCCAAATAGTCCTGAATTTCAGTTGCCCCCCCAAATCCTGGTTTTTATTATTATTATTATTATTATTATTGAGATGAAGACCGAGTCCGCCCCCAATACCTCACTAAATATTGTTCTAGACTAGAGGGAACATCGGATTTGGATACGCTCTCTTTCTTGCACACAAACACACACGTACATCACACACACACACACACACACAAACACACATCCAGCACGTCTAAGGCTAGCAAGGCAAGCCACCGCCTCTTCATTCTGCTGCCCTAAGAGTACCTTACAGGATGAGCTTCGGGGGCTAAGCATGGATCGATCCTCAGCTGTGTCATGCACAGCTACAAAGCCGATGGATAAGAACTGCAGAGCGAAGCACACACACACCCCACACAAAACCCCAACAATAATCTAGGATAGGAGCCAGAGCCGGACTAGATCCGCTCAACACCTTGCAGCTTGCCTTGATGGAGGAAGAGAGTGCTGGGTTCGGGATCTGGATCCACCAGGCAAGACAACTGAGCAAAGGGGAAAGGAGAAGAGACACGAGAAGAAGGAAGGGAAGGAAGGAAGGAAGGAGAGAAGAAGAAAAGAGAAAAGAAGGAAGAGAAGAAGGAGAAGGGAAGAAGGGGAACAGAAGTAAGAGGAGAAGAGAGAAGGAGAAGAAAAGATGAAAAAAATGAGAAGGAAAGAAAAGGAAAAGAAGGAAGGAGAAGGGAAGAACAATAGGAAGAAGGAGAAGGAAAAGAAGAGGGAGATAAGGAGAAAGGGAGAAGAGAAGAAAAAGGAAGAAAGGAGAAGGGAAGAGGGAGAAGGAAAAGGAGAAGAAGAAAGAAGGGACAAGGAGATGAAGGAGAAGGAAAAGAAGGGAAGGAGAACGGACAAGGGAGAAAAAAGAAAAAGAAAAGACGGGAATACAAGAAGTAGAAGAGGGAGGAGAAGGAGAAGAAGAATGGAAGAGGGAGAAGGAAAAGAAGAAAAGGGAAGACAAGAAGTAGAAGAGGGAAAAGGGAAGCGGGAGAATGGGAGAGGGAAAAGGGAAGAAGGAGAATGGAAAGAAAAGAAGAGGGAAAAGGAATAGAAGAGTGGAAAAAGGGGGAGAAGGAGAATGGAAAGAAAAGAAGAGGGAAAAGGAATAGAAGAGTGGAAAAAGGGGGAGAAGGAGAATGGAAGAGGGAGAAGGAAAAGAAGAAGAAGAGAAGTGTGCTGGAGAAGCAAAAAATCAAAGCTGAAGGACCACTCATGCAACAACCAACGGCAGAGCAGAAAGAATAAACGCCTCGATGCAGAACCGCAAGGGAGAAACAGGAGAGAGATTTGGCTGCTCTCGCACTCTGTGCAACCTCAGAAGATGACAACTTTCTGGAAAAGCACGGATCTCCACCCAAGACCGGGCCCCGACCCTTGTCCGTGGCTCGCTTCCTCTCTGCGACTCAAAGGACGTCCGTCCAAACGACTCGGGCCCGTGTCGAGGCGCAGAAGGTGGGCTGCTGTGCAGAAAAAGAGCTGGACTCGTCGGAGGCGGGGGGGGAGGAGGAGGGCTAGGAAAAAAGATGTATACAAAAACAGTCCGGGGGGGGGGCTGCGCAGGCCGAGTTTGCCCCCGAAGAGCCCCCCCCCAAAACTCCTCCGCAGGGTCAGCGTCCAGAAGCCGCTTCTGCCCGGGGCCCTCCCTTTCTCCCCGCTTAGACAAACAGGGATGGTGATCACGGCCGCGGAACTGCCCGCTACACGTCCGTGGACAAGTAGACTGCATTGTGTTTCAGCTCGGCGAAGGAGATGGGCGAGTGTTGCAAATAGTACAGCAGGACTTGAACCTGGGGGAGGAAAAAAAAAAACACAACGCCACAATGTGAGACAAAAACGAGGGATTCTTGCGTCACTGTGCCCCAGACCCGTTCAAGTGACGCCAATGGGGAGGAATTCGCCAGAGAAACTCAAAAGAGTTCCCTCCACGGAGTTGCTTGACAAAGGATGGATTAAGAGCAGAGCGGAGACGGAGGCTTCAAAGCCCACGTTCTGGAAAAGCTTAAAATAGAAGAGAGTACAGTTGGAAGGGACCTTAGGGGTCATCTAGTCCAGCCCCCTGCTCAAGCATAGCTGGCTCAGGAATTCTAGGAGTTGAAGTCCACGAGTCATAAAAGAGCCAAGGTTGCCTACCCCTGGTCTAACCTCTTCTTAAAAATCTCCAGTGATGGAGTATCCACAACCTCTAGTGCAGTGGTTCTCAACCTTTTTAATGCCGCGACCCCCAACCGGTCGTAAGTCGAGGACTATTCAACCGGTCGTAAGTCGAGGACTACTCAACTGGTGCAGCACCGTTTGCAGAATGGGACTTTTGGCGGGCTCAGCAGGGCAGAGACAGCCTGGACAATTCCTATTGGCTTTTGAAAGCCAATAGAATTAGACTCTATTCAAGAGAGTCTATTCTATTGGCTTTCAAAAGCCAACAGAATAAAAGGGAGTAGCACAGCTAAGGAAAAGGGGGAAAAAAATGGCGGACCGCGTTGTTTGGCGACCCCCGTGAAATGGTCGTTCGACCCCAAATGGGGTCCCGACCCACAGGTGGAGAACCACTGCTCTAGTGGCAAGCTGTTCCACTGGTTAATTGTCCTCACTGTCAGGAAGTTTTTCCTTAATTCCAGGTTGCTTCTCTCTTTGATCAATTTCCAACCATTGTTCCTCATCCTGCCCTCTGGTGCTTTGGAGAATCCAACACTAGAGGTTTTTAAGTTGAGATTGGACACCCAAGAGTTTGTCTGAAATGGTATAGGGTTTGTTGCTTGAACGGGGTTGGGCTAGAAGATCTTTAAGGTCCCTCCTGACTCTGTGATTCTGTTATTTTAATCCTCTTCTTCCTGGTTAGCTACTGCAAATCATAGGAATCTTTCCCTAATTTCAATAGCTTCTTCGGCCGGGCACATAAGGGTAGTCGTCGGCTTCCAATTATTCGTTTAGTGACCGTTCAAAGTTACAACGGCACTGAAAAAAAATAACGTACGGCCAATTTTCACACCTATGACAGTTGCAGCATCCTCGCAGCCATAGGATCACAATTTGGGTGCTTGCCAACGGGCTCGTATTTATGACGGTGGCAGTGTCCCCGGGTCCCGTGATCCTCTTCGGCGATCTTCGAACAAACAGAGGCCACGGGGACGCCTGATTCGCTTAACGACCGTGCTCCTAACTTAACAACTGTAGCGATTCACTTAACAACTGTGGCGAGAAAGGTCGTAAAATGGGGCAAAAATCCCTTAACAACTGTCTCGCGTAGCCGCGGAAATGTTGGGCTCCACTGTGGTCCGAAATTTTATAAGTGTTTCCTGCTTGAGCGAGGGGGGTTGGACTAGATGACCTCTAAGGTCCCTTCCAGCTCTTGTGATTCTGTAAGACTCAGTGTTTCTCAACCTTGACCATTTTAAGGCAGGTGGACTTCAACTCCCAGAATTCCACAGCCAGCAATGCTGGCTGTGGAATTCTGGGAGTTGAAGTCCACATGCCTTAAAATGGTCAAGGTTGAGAAACACTGCTTGTAAGTCAATTTCCATTCTGGAAATTTCTACTCTAAGGCGATTGGATGGATTTGATTCAAATCATTTCTCAGCACGGACGGACCCAAAATTTGAATGTCGGGAACACTTGAGTCCCAGTCGCTTGATTTGATTTCGCAGCCTTTGGGAGCAGGAAGAAAACGCCGGCATTAATTCCAGAAAAGGCAACTGGGTTCAAACGTCTGAATTAAATTAAATTGTTTCTTTTCTGAATCCAGTTTGAAAGTCCGAATTGGATTTGCAGTGATTCACACAGCCGAGAGAAGCACATAAAAAAACAACAACAACAACACTTGGGGCTTCTGATAGCAATCGAAATTTTGCCCAGTCTTTCAGGGAGTCCATGTTGTTTTTTATTGCATAATCTTTGTGCTCCATTACTAGATTTTAAGGTTAAGGCACCAGCAGAGAAACAGGGAATTCTAGTCCTGCCTTAGGCATAGCCGACTGGGTGACTTTGGGCCAGTCACCAGGAGGTGGTGAGTTCTAGTCCCGCCTTGGGCATGAAAGCCAGCTGGGTGACTGGGACAATCACCACGAGACTGTGAGTTCTAGTCCTGCCATAGGCATGAAAGCCAGCTGGAAGACTTTGGGCCAGTCACCAGGAGACTGTGAGTGCTAGTTCTGCCTTGGGTGTGAAAGCCAGCTGGGTGACTGGGCCAGTCACCAGGAGACTGTGAGTTCTAGTCCTGCCTTAGGCATGAACGCCAGCCGGGTGGCTATGGGCCAGTCACCAGGAGACTGTAAGTTCTAGTCCTGCCTTAGGCATAGCCAGCTGGGTGACTTTGGGCCAATTACCAGGAGACTGTGAGTTCTAGTCCCGCCTTAGGCATGAAAGCCGGCTGGGTGACTTTGAGCCAATCACCAGAAGGCGGTGAGTTCTAGTCCTGCCTTAGGCATAGCTGGCTGGGTGACAGGGCCAATCACCAGGAGACGGTGAGTTCTAGTCCTGCCTTAGGCATGAAAACTAGCTGGATGATTGGGCAAGTCAGCCCAGCCCACCTCACAGGACGGTTGTGGGAGTAATAGAAGGATGGAGATGTGTTGGGTATATGTTCACCGCCCTGAGTTCTTTGTAAAATAACACATCAAAATAAAACAATAAAAGAACAAGACATGAAATTACAGCGATCTCTCCTAACTCTTCCCTTTTACACGCAAAGAGCAAACAGGCGCTTGGCAATGCAGATAAAAACTGCCTCACTTACCCGACACGACAAACACACACACACACACACAAAGTCAAGTTGCTGTTTCGATTGGCAAACTTTGCAAAGTGCAATGGGGAAACTGAGGCAGCTCGGAGCTTGCTGTCCAATTTAATCCCCCCCCCCTAAATGGAAGGATCGTTTTTATACAATCTGATTTGCAGCAGACCCCTCCCCAAGGAAGCCCACCCTGCAGAGGAGGCTGGCCGGACCCCAGCAGCCGTGGAGATCTTCTCCACCCTGACCCCATCCCACCCCACTGTGCTGGTCAACTCTGCAGGGTTCCCGTCCCGCCGGTTACCTGCGCCATCACATCGTGGGACCAGATGTCGGAGGCCAGCGTGACGTGCCCTTTGCTCTCCGCTTCCGAGGGTCTCAACAACGTCGGGCCGAAGACGGTAGCCAGATTGTACAGCGACATTTTGTTGACGGGCTCCTTCTCGGCAACCCTGTGGCGACGAGACGAGAGGGTTTCAGAAACCCGGGAGAATCAGATGCCAACATGGCTGAACTCGGTCTTTGATCCCAGCCGAGCTCCGATGGAAATGAAGGAGTTTCCCCACATTTTCCCAACCCTCGTCCTCCCTTCCCCGCTGTTCCCCAACCCGGAAAAATGACACAACTGGGATGGCAATCCTACAGGTAGTCCTCAGACTCATGACCAGAAGCGTTCTGTCGCTAAGCGAGGCAGTTGTTAAGGGAGTTTCACCCCATTTATTATCTTTTTTTTTGGCCACGGTTGTTAAGTGAATCATGAGGTCGTGAAGTGAATCTGGCTTCTCCACTGACTTTGCTGGTCACAAGGTCACAAAAGGGGATCACGCGACCCCTGGGGACACTGCGACCGTCGTAAATGTGAGTTAGCTGCCAAGTTTTCATTATGTGACCGTGGGGAGGTTGCAATGGTCAAAAGGGAGAAAAATGGTTAAAGCTCACTTTTTCCAGTGCCGTTGTAACTTCGAGCGGTCACTAAAGGAATGGTCATAAGTGGAGGACTACCTATATGCCTTGGCAACTTTAAGATCTATGGACTTCGATTCCCAGAATCCCCCAGCCAGCTCTAATATCCCCAGCCAGCATGGTATAAGATGGGCGATGTCCACCCCTCTTAAAGCAGGCTGGCTGGGGGATTCTGGGAGTTGGGAGTCCACCCCTCTTAAAGCAGGCTAGCTGGGGAATTCTGGGAGTTGAAGTCCACCCCTCTTAAAGCAGGCTGGCTAGGGGATTCTGGGAGTTGGGAGTCCACCCCTCATAAAGCATGCTGGCTGAGGAATTCTGGGAGCGCAAGTCCACCCTTCTTAAAGCAGGCTGGCTGGGGAATTCTGGGAGTGGAAGCCCACCCCTCTTAAAGCATGGCTGGCTGGGGGATTCTGGGAGTTGAAGTCCAGAAGTCAAGTTGCCAAGGTTGGAAACCCCTGTTCTATGCAGTTCCAAAGTCACCTTTTGCAGTTCCCATCTTATGCCCAAATTTGATGCTTCAGAGATCTCCCACCCACCCATTCCTTCACTGTGACCACACACAGACACACAGACACACACACACACAGATTGCATCCACCCCATCCCGGAAACCAGGGAGCAAAGATGGCTACAGCGAGAGACAGCTGTGTGCAATTGCTGTCCTCTCTCTCCACAACAAACAAGCTGAACACACTGGAGCCCTGCCCTGCCACACAGATGTGGAACGAGGCATGTTTCCGGTCCTGAGTGAGGCATCCCGTGGATTTCCCTCACAAGCCCATTTAAGTCTCTCTCTCTCTCTCTCTCTCTCTCCCCCCCCATCACTCATTTTTCAGTCGCTTGCCTTGCTGTTCCTTCTTCCACGCTGGGGTTAAGCCCACGAGAGGGAGGGAGGTGAGAGCATGCAAAGCTTCCAGTCCTCAATTCCAAAATTCCCCACGGTGTGTTTCTCGGGCCAGCTGGGCCCTGCACCAAACCGCAGCTTCTCAAGCGGTACCGTGTCCTTAAGCAGGAGACTCCGGGGGCAAGCGAGGACAGGGGCATTCTGCAGACCCCCAAGCCCCAAATGGGGAGGGGGTTTGGACCTCTCAGCCCCAGTGCCCCCCCTCTCTGAACCCCTTCCTCGTCTCCCTGCCACCAGTGATGTAAAAATGCCCCGGGGGGGGGGCAGAATTTTTTTTTTAAAAAAGCAGCATCGGATAGAATCCAAAGCCCCCCCCCCAAAAAAATGCACAATCCTTTTTTTCTTTTTTGCAAAGACAGGGAAATTCCTTCGGTCAAGTGCCCTGAAGCCGGAGTGGGGGTGGGGTGCAGTTTAGGAAGTACCCCTATTAATGTAAAAAAGTTTTGCATTCCTTTTAACGCACAAAAAGAAAGAAAGAAAGAAAGAAAGAAAGAAAGAAAGAAAGAAAGAAAGAAAGAAAGAAAGAAAGAAAGAAAGAAAGAAAATAAAATAAGGCTGTTTTCCCCAGGCTAAAAGGAACCCCCCCCCCTTTCCTCTCTTTTGGAAACATTCTTTTACCTTTTTTTTTTTAAAGCGTTGCTCTTAAATTTTAATTTAGAGCTGTATCTTTTTGTGAGGCCGGTGGAAGCGTGTTAAGATTTATCCTGGCTGTTTGTGGGTGTGCTTTTTTCCCGTTCCCAATACAATTAGTCCCAATGAACAATACAGTTCATTTAAGGGAGGGGTTGAAGTTACAACAGCACAGAGAATAATAGTAGTAGTAGTAATAATAATAATAATATTAATATTAATGAAGATGATGATGATAACTGGAGCACCACTTGAACACCTTCCTCGGCATTGACAAATTCGCCATTAGTCAATTGCAAAAGGCGGCCTTACTAGGAACTGCTTCCATCCTGCGACGATACCTGTAATACCATCAAACATCCACATCTGCCTATCCCAGGTCCTTGGGAAGGACTCGATGGGTAGACAAAAATGCCAAATCCAGTCTGAACATCTGGCTGACTGTGCGAGGATCAATAATAATAATAATAAAGTTGGAAGGGACCTTGGAGGTCATCTAGTCCAACCCCCTGCTCAGGCAGGAAGCCCTGTACCATTTCAGACAAAGGGCTTATGTCTGTTTTTCATGCTTAACAACCGTTGTAGCGTCCCTGTGGTCATGTGATCAAACACTCGGATGCTTGGCGACTGACACATATTTATGACGGTCGCAGTGTCCCAGGGTCATTTGGTGACTTTCTGACAAGCCAAGTCAATGGGAGAGCCAGGTTCACTTATGAACTGTGGGACTCACTTAGCACCTGCAATGATTCACTTAATAACTATGGGAAGAGCTAGAGCTAAGAAGAAATTTCCTGACAGTTTGAGAACAGTGAATGTTCCAACACTGGAAGGTTTTAAGAAGAGACTGGGCAGACATTTGAAATAGTGTAGGGTTTCCTGACTGAGCAGGGGGTTGGACTAGATGACTTCCAAGGTCCCTTCCAACTCTGTTATTCTATTCTATTCTATTCTATTCTATTCTATTCTATTCTATTCTATTCTATTCTATTCTATTCTATTCTATTCTATTCTATTCTCCTTATTCTATTCTGTTCTATTCTATTCTATTCTATTCTATTCTCCCTTATTCTATTCCAGTGGTTCTCAACCTTTCTAATGCCGCGACCCCATCATACAGTTCCACATGTTGTGGTGACCCCCAACCACTTATACATCACCGGGTGCCAGGGGCGTGGCCAAAGAAAAGGGGGAAAAAATGGCGGACAGCCTTGTTTGGCGACCCCCGTGAAATGGTCGTTCGACCCCAAATGGGGTCCCGACCCACAGGTGGAGAACCACTGTTCTATTCTATTCTATTCTATTCTATTCTATTCTATTCTATTCTATTCTATTCTATTCTAAACTCAACTCAACTAAACTCAACTCAACTCAACCAATGTTTCATTTAGCCACAGAAATTTGGGCCACTGTTCTGGTCGTAAGTGGGGGACTATCTGTAACTTGCCGGCTATCCTGGAAAGCTTGAAAGGGACTGAAGGGAGGTGGAACGGAAAACGGGAATGTGCAAGGGAAATCCAGTAGAAGCTGAAGAAGCTTCAAGGAGGAGAAGCGAAACGTCTTCAGAGAAAAACAAGAAAGTCCAGCTGCCTTGTGGAAAAAGCACCTTTGGGTGCAAGAGAAATGAGTGAAAAATTAACGAAAGACCCCACCCCCACCCCCCACTGAAGACGGGGAAACTCACCGTTTTAAATGTTCTAGGAGGAAGAGGAAGGTGATGAGATTGGGGTCCGGGAGGGAGCGTAGAAGATGCAGCATGCAGTTTTCCTTGGCCGAGGGGTCGGAAAGTGCTAGGAAAAAACAAAACAAAAACCCAAATGGAATTAAAGAGAAAAGAAGTGGGTAGATGGTAATAATAATAAAAAAATATCAAGATCTGCAAAAAATATCATTTGCCTGTAAGCAAAAACTGGGGGGATCATAAAATAGAGAAAGTCATATAAAATGATAAAATTAAACTTGTCTGGGACTTCAGAATTCAAACAGACAAGCACCTGCAACATAACACCCCAGACTTAACAATTGTCGATAAGACAGACAAAAAAAGTCTGGATAGTGGACGTGGCAGTGCCTGGAGACAGCAGAATAGAAGAGAAAGAGCTGGAGAAGATAACAAAATACAAAGACCTACAAATAGAAAGAAAGACTGTGGCAAAAGCAAGCAAGGGTAGTACCAATAGTCATAGGCTCCTTGGGTGCAATCCCAAAACAACTGGAGTACCACTTGAACACCATTGGCATTGACAAATTCGCTATTAGTCAATTGCAAAAGGCAGCCTTACTAGGAACTGCTTCCATCCTGCGATGATACCTGTAATACCATCAAACATCCACATCTGACTATCCCAGGTAAGGACTCGATAGGTAGACAAAATGCCAAATCCAGTCTGAACATCTGGCTGACTGTGCGATGATCAATAATAATAATAATAGTAGTAGTAGTAGTAGTAGTAGTAGTAATAATAATAATAATAATAATAAAATAGATGAGAAGCAAAACGTTTTCAAGGGAAAAAAAGAAAGTCTAGTTGCCTTTTGGAAAGGCACATAATAAAATAATAAGAGTTGGAAGGGACCTTGGAGGTCATCTAGTCCAACCCCCTGCTCAGGCAGGAAACCCTATACCATTTCCGACAAAGGGCTGTGCAGTCTCTTCTTGAAAACCTACAATGTTGGAGCATGCACAACTTCTGGAGGCAAGGAGTTCCACTGGTTAATTGTCCTCACTGTCAGGAAGTTTCTCCTTAGTTCTAGGTCAGTGATGGAGAGCCTTTTAGAGACCGAGTGCCCAAAAACCGCCCCCCCCCCGCTCTGCCTCCCACCCTGCCTGCTCCGCCCCTGCCCGCACCCTATCCCGCCCACCCACAGGGCCACGCACCGCCTCCATGGCCCGCTGCAGATCGCCCAGGCAGCCCTGCAGCGCTATGGCAGCCACAGCCTCTGCCCACACCCTGCACATCATCTGCACGCTATGGGGCACGAGGGCGGAGTCTTTGCCCAGCTGCCTTGTCCTTGGCTGCGTTGCTCCGTGTAGGCCGTGCCTGGGGCAGACTCTCCTCCAGTGGGCTGCTGGTGAGGGTCACGGGGGAAGCAGGGCTGGGGCGACGGCACGCGTGCCCACAGAGAGGGCTCCAAGTGCCGCCTCTGGCACGCATACCATAGGTTCACCACCACTGTTCTAGGTTGCTTCTCTCCTTGGTTAGTTTCCATCCGTTGCTTCTTCTCCTGCCTTCAGGCGCTTTGGAGAGTAGCTTGACTCCCTCTTCTTTGGGGCAGCCCCTGAGATACTGGAAGACTGCTATCCTGTCCCCCCTCGTCCTTCTCTTCATTAAACTAGACATACCCAATTCCAGCAACCGTTCCTTATATGCTTTAGCCTCCAGTCCCCTGATCCTCTTTGTTGCTCTTCTCTTCCCTCTTTCCAGAATCTCAGCATCTTTTTTACATCATGGTGACCAAAATTGGATGCAGTATTCCAAGTGTGACCTTAACCAACGCCTTGTAAAGTGGTATTAACGCTTCAGGTGGTCCGGCAATTGCCTCCCACCCACCACTGTTCTGCGCCATGATCTGGATTTAATTACAAAGGAGCCAGAAAATTGGTTCGCTGGCCTTTGCAGGTGGTTTCCAACTTACAATCATTCGTTTAGTGACCATTCAAAGGTATAACAGCACTGAAATTTCAAAACATGGTATATTTTAGACATATATAGCTGGAAGGGAGGGACCTTGGAGGTCTTCTAGTCCAGCCCCCCGCTCGAGCAGGAGAACCTATACCATTTCAGACAAGTGACTGTCCAGTCTCTTCTTAAAAACCTCCAGTGATGGAGCATTCACCGCTTCTGGTTGCAAGCTGTTCCACCGGTTAATTGTCCTCACTGTTAGGAAGTTTCTCCTTAATTCCAGGTTGCTTCTCTTTGGTTAGTTTCCAACTATTGTTTCTTGTCCTGCCTTCTGGTGCTTTGGAGAATAGTTTGACCCCCTCTCTTCATGCAACATCCTCGTGGTCCTGTGTTCAAAATTCAGACCCTCGTGTTTAGGATGGCTGCACTGGGGTGACATGATCCCCTTTTGCGACCTTCAGCCCAACGAAGTCCAGGGGGAAGCAAAATTCATTTAACGACCGTGTGACTTCCTGAACAACTGCAGGGAGTCACTTTAGCCCCTGTGACTAAGAAAGGTCATAAAATGGGGCAAAATTCACTTTGCAACTGACCTGCTTAGCAACGGGTATTGTACGCTGTCGACCTGTCCATTAAGGGAAATATTTTGAGGCGTTTCCAAATTCGATTAGACACCACAATCCAGTCTAAAACCATGAAGCTCTTGGAAGCAGAGCTAAGAGCTATTAATTTTTATTTATTATCAGAGTTTTGTCTTGAGTAAGCTAGCTTGAAGCCACAGGACTGCATTTGACATTTCTGCCCAAACCGTGGCTTTAAGTCCAGTTGTTGACAAAAAAAAGAAAAGAAAAAAAAGCCCATAGCAAACAATGAGTTCACTTTACGTGGAAGTCAGCTTGCAATCACAATGTTGGTTTAAAGACTGCCCCCAAACCGGTTGCAAAAACATGTTCGCTCACAGGGCGACCCGCCTTATGACCGTGAGAACGGTTACGGTTGTAAGTCAAGGACTACCTTGCAAAACGCACAAAGCTGGCTAACTGTAATCCTAGTTTGGGGGATATGTGTTTGAATGCCAGCCAGGTTGTTTAGTTTATCATTCCCTGCTGGAACAAACCTACAAATTTAAGTTAACTGAAGGCTTCATTCTGGAAGGGGTTAGCAGATTTGCAAAATCTGCCCCAGATGTTGGATGGAAAGGAGGACGGAGCAGAGGACCACCCAGCCAATCAGGAAGCGGGATGGGAAACCAGATGTCCACAAGTTGCTGAACAGATGTTGTTGATTTAAGGCAAGCCAGTCCGTTTTGCAGTAAACAAGTACAGCGGCACTCAAGAAACCCGTTATTTTACAGCAGAGTCCTCGAATTACGACCACGATGGATCCCAAAACTTCCGTTGCTAAGTGAAACATTTTTAAAAGTGAGTTTTGCCCTCATTTAACAACGTCTCTTGTCACAGCTGTTAAGTGCATCACTGCAGTTGTTAAGTTAGTAACTTGGTCGTTAAGTGAATCCGGCTTCCCCCATTGACTTTGTTTGTCAGAAGGTCGCAAAGGGGGGGGGTCATGTGACACCCCCCCTCCTTGGACGCTGCGACCGTCATAAATAGGAGCCATTTGCCAAGTGGAATTTTGATCCCGTGACCGTGGAGAGGCCGCAACGGTCGCTAAGTGCGAAAAACAGTCCTCAGTCCCTCTTTGCAGCTTTGAACGGTCCCTAAATGAGCCGTTGTAAGTCAGGGACTACCTGTATTTTATTTTTTTTCCCCATTCGCCCCTCGAGATAAATCTGAATTTTGATCACGGGACTGCGGAGATGCTTGTAAGTGTGAAAACTGCTCACGAGTGACTTTTTTCAGTCACGTTGCAACTTTAAGTGGTCACTAAACAGACGGTCGTAACTCGAGGACTATGTGTACTAGTGCAAACTTCCCCAAAAATGAACTCGGCTTTGCTCTGGTTTTTAAGAGTCTTGAGCTGGAGATCTTGACTCCCTCCATCCCCCAAATGTACGTGAGCGGAAGTCCTTACCGATGCCTTGCATAAAGGTCGGATAGAGCCGGTCCGTCAGCAGAGGTTCCGGCAGTTCGCGGAAGTATAGCTTCAGGGTCCCCGCAATGGCGTTGATATCCATGTCGCTCAGCATAACCAGGATATCTGTGCTGTCTAAGGTACAAATCAAGCCTGGGTTTAGAACAGTGTCTCTCCAGGTTGGCTACTTGTAAACGGGGGGACTTCCACTCCCAGAATTCCCCAGCCAGCCTACTTTAAGAAGGGTGGACTTCCACTCCCAGAATTCCCCAGCCAGCCTGTTTTAAGAGGGGTGGACTTCCACTCCCAGAATCCCCCAGTCAGCCTGCTTTAAGAGGGGTGGACTTCCACTCCCAGAATCCCCCAGCCAGGATGCTTTAAGAGGGATGGATTTCCACTCCCAGAGTCCCCCAACCAGGATGCTTTAAGAGGGGTGGGCTTCCACTCCCAGAATTCCCCAGCCAGCCTGTTTTAAGAGGGGTGGACTTCCACTCCCAGAATCCCCCCAGTCAGGATGCTTTAAGAGGGGTGGACTTCCACTCCCAGAATCCCCCAGCCAGGATGCTTTAAGAGGGGTGGACTTCCACTCCCAGAATCCCCCAACCAGGATGCTTTAAGAGGGGTGGACTTCCACTCCCAGAATCCCCCAACCAGGATGCTTTAAGAGGGGTGGACTTCCACTCCCAGAATCCCCCAGCCAGGATGCTTTAAGAGGGGTGGACTTCCACTCCCAGAATCCCCCAGCCAGGATGCTTTAAGAGGGGAGGACTTCCACTCCCAGAATCCCCTAGCCAGGATGCTTTAAGAGGGGTGGACTTTCCAAAATTCCATGCTTTAAGACAGGAGTATTTCAATTCCCAGAATCCCCCAGCCAGCATGTATGGACACCATACATCTAAAAGAAGCTGGCTGGGGAATTCTGGGAGTTGAAATCCACAGATCTTAAAATCCCGAAGTTTGAGAAACACTTGAGAAACACTGGAAGACGAAGCTCACTGGAATCAAAGGCGGCTTTCAAGTCCTGGATTTTGGTGGCCACCCCTGAGATCCGGTAGATCCCGACTTCATCAATGCCCCGTTTCTCTACCTCCTCCACACACTGGCGCACAACATAGGGGATCTTGGAGCGCTCCCGCCTGTGGGAAGAAAAGAGAGCATGGCGGGTCAGGGAGCCCCAGGAATTCTGCAGATGCCCCAACCTGTAAAACCGCATCTCTGGACTTCGACTCCCAGAATTCCCCAGCTGTATTATTTTTAGAAATAACTTATGGCACTGGACATACCTAATTCGCCTTGCTCCTTCTCTTACAACAGCCCTATAAGGTAGGTTGGGCTGAGAGAGGGACTGGCCCAAAGTCACCCACCTGACTTGCAGGCCTAAGGCAGGACTAGAACTCACCGCCTCCTGGTGATTGGCCCAAAGTCACCCAGCTGGCTTTCATGCCTAAGGCGGGACTAGAACTCACTGTCTCCTGGTGATTGGCCCAAAGTCCCCAGCTGGCTTTCATGCCTAAGGTGGGACTAGAACTCACAACCTCATGGTGATTGGCCCAAAGTCACCCAGCTGGCTTTTCTGACTAAGGCCGGACTACAACTCCCGGTCTCCCAGTTTGTAGCCTGGTGGCTTAACCATTAGATCAGGGGTAGGCAACCTTGGCTCTTTTATGACACGTGGACTTCAACTCCCAGAATTCCTGAGCCAGCATGGGGGAAACTTTGGCCCCTTCATGACTCGTGGACTTCAACTCCCAGAATTCCTGAGCCAGCCTGGCTCAGCTTGGAAACCTCTCCCTTTCCCCTCAGTGTGGCTGGCTCAGGAATTCTGGGAGTTGAAGTCCACGAGTCATAAAAGAGCCAGGTTGCCTACCTCTGGCCTAGGCCTAGGACGCTTTATGACTTGTGGACTTCAACTCCCAGAATTCTTGAGCCAGCATGGGGGAACTGTGGCCCCTTCATGACTCCTGGACTTCAACTCCCAGAATTCCTGAGCCAGCATGGCTCAGCATGGAAACCTCTCCCTTTCCCCTCAGCGTGGCTGGCTCAGGAATTCTGGGAGTTGAAGTCCACCAGTCATAAAAGAGCCAAGGTTGCCTAGCCCTGCTCTAGATCAAACTGGCTCTCCAGATGTCTTCTCCAAATACATTGTTGTTCCCACCCACACATTTTTCTTGCTCAGCTTTTTTTCCCCAGCTCATCTTACTTAGTGACCACGCTGATTTTGACTCCGAAGACCCCCGTCTGCTTTTTCGAGGGGGTCCTCTTGAGGCTCATATCCCGGCTGGTGAATTTCATCGAAAATTCGACTTTCACCTGAAAGAAAAAACAAGACCAGTCAGGAAATCACAAACTGGAAAAAAATTAGGCATCATGTCCCTTTTTTCCAGCGCCGTTGAAACTTTGAATGGTCATTAAATGAAGCGTTGTAAATCGAGGACTACCTGTACATGATTATGGGCCTCCTGTGACAGACACTGTTTTCAGTGTCATCGTAACTTTGAACAGTCACTAAATGAAGCATCATAAGTCGAGGACTACCTGTACATAATTATGGGCCTCCTGTGATGGATGTAAACATGAGGACTAGTTATAAGCCACTGTTTTCAGTGTTGTTGTAACTTTGAACGGTCACTAAATGAAGCATCGTAAGTCGAGGACTACCTGTACATGATTATACGGACATAAACGCGAGGAAACTAAGACCCTTAGTTTCAGTGCCGCTGAAACTTTGAACGATCCCTAAATGGGCTGTCGTAAGTCGAGGACCGCCGGTACCCTGCGGGAAGGGAGGGGAAGACCGAAACGGGGCGACCAGCACCCCGTCTTACTCACCCCATTCATCTCGATCACATCCACCTGCCAGTTTTTCGTCTGCACCGTCTGGGGGTCCAACTAAAATAGGAAAAAAAAAAAAGAAATATATGAGAAAAACTAGGCTTCCGTTGCTTGTCTGGATCGCTTTGGCGTCGTAATACAGGGAGTCCTCGACTTAACGGCCAAAACGGCGCCCCGGATTTCCGTTGCTAAGCGAGACATTTGTTAATAAGTCAGCTTTTTTCAAATGTTTGGGTTATTTGGCAAAAGGGTGAGGGGGTTTCTCCCCCCAAACAGGTTGTGCTTCCAGGGAGACCCCAGGTGGGAGGCAACCCCCCCCCGTTCAAAATCTCAAGAAAAAAGGGATTTACACTACAGGCAGTCCTTGACTTACGACCGCAACGGAGCCCCAAATTTATGGTGCTAAGCGAGACACTCGTTAAAAGAGAATTTTGCCCCATTTTGCGGCCTTTCATGTCACGGTTGTTAAGTGAATCTGGCTTTTCTGGTCGGGCGGTCACAAAAGGGGTTTGCGTGACACACACCCCCCCGGGACTCTGCAAACCGTCATAAATACAAGTCAGTTGCCGAGCATCTTTAATTTTGATCCCGTGATCCTGGGGATGCTGCAACGGTCATAAGTGTGAACCACGGTCGTAACTCGCTGTTTTCAGTGCCGTTGTAACTTCGAACGGTCCCTAAAAGGGATGTCGTAAGTTGGGGACTATCTGTGGTGCTGTAATCTAAGGTAGTCCTCGGGTTACGACCATTTGTTCCGTCTGAAGTGACTGCAAAAAAAAGAACGGTCCTCGCACTTAATAACCCTCAAGTCACACAGAATAACAATCTGGGCCCTTGGCAAAGGCCTCCCGTTTGAAAAATGATCGTAAATTGCTTTTTTCAGTGCCGTCGTAATTGGAACAGTCACTAAACGAGCGGTTGTTAAATTGAGGACTTTCTGTTATTTGTCTTTCTTTGCAGGACAAAACTCTGCCAACCACCAGCCCTGCAGTGCGGTCTCGGGAGAAAGGGATCCGGTTTCAGGAGTTACAGACGATTGCAAAGCCCCTCTTTTTCTGCTTGCCATCGAAACAACGCACAACTCAACAATTCAACAACTGAGCAGGAGGTTGGACTAGATGGCCTGCAAGGTCCCTTCCAACTTCTACTTCTCTCTCTCTCTTTCTCTCTCTCTCTCTCTCTCTTTCCCTATCATCATCATCATCATCATCATCATCATCATTATTATTATTATTAGCCAAGTATGAATTTCCGAGGAACGCTGCCAACGTAGAAGTTATTTTATTGGGATTATTTTGGCCACTGCAGGAAACAGCTGGATGGGAATTGTGTTGTGTTGTGTTTATAACACAAAGGAAATAAAATAGAAGCACTATAAATAAATAGGGATGAATCTTGAAGTCTCATAGCTATAAAAAAAAACACGAATTTTTGGCTGATTTCCATCTCTCTCTCTCTCTCTCTCCTTCCCCCCCCCCCTTGTCCCCAAACTGCCCCACAGAAGATCACAAAACTGCCCCACGTTTCTTCCCTGGCCTTTCCTAACACCATTATTTTAATTGCCACCCCCTCTGTGTTTCACACCATGAAATGGGAATGGTCCAACGCTGGAAGTTTTGAAGAAGAGACTGGGCAGCCATTTGTCTGAAATGGGATAGGGTTTCCTGCCTGAGCAGGGGGTTGGACTAGATGACCTCCAAGGTCCCTTCCAACATTATTATTATTATTAACAATGTGCCCCAGAAGTTGTGGATGCTGCAATATTGGAAGTTTTGAAGAAGAGACCAGCCAGCCATTTGTCTGAAATGGGATAGGGTTTCCTGCCTGAGCAGGGGGTTGGACTAGATGACCTCCAAGGTCCCTTCCAACTTTATTATTATTATTATTATTATGGATCATCGCACAGTCAGTCAGATGTTCAGATTGGATTTGGCATTTTGTCTACCTATCGCAGCGGTTCTCCACGTGTGGGTCGGGACCCCATTTGGAGTCGAACGACCATTTCATGGGGGTCACCAAACAACACAGTCCGCCATTTTTTCCCCCTTTTCCTTAGCTGTGCTACTCCTTTTTATTCTATTGGCTTTTGAAAGCCAATAGAATAGACTCTCTTGAATAGAGTCTAATTCTATTGGCTTTCCAAAGCCAATAGGAATTGTCCAGGCTGTCTCTGCCCTGCTGAGCCCGCCAAAAGTCCCAGTCTGCAAAAGGGGCTGCACCAGTTGAGTAGTCCTCGACTTACGACCGGTTGAGTAGTCCTCGACTTACGACTGGTTAGGGGTCACGGCATTAAAAAGGTTGAGAACCACTGACCTATCGAGTCCTTACCCAGGACCTGGGATAGGCAGTTGTGGATGTTTGATGGTATTACAGGTATTGTTGCAGGATGGAAGCAGTTCCTAGTAAGGCTACCTATTATTATTATTATTATTATTATTATTATTATTATTTGCAGGAGTGCAAAGCCCTTTTCCTGCTTGCCGTCGAAACAATGCACAACTCAACAATTCAATACCTGAGCAGGGGATTGGACTAGATGACCTCCAAGGTCCCTTCCAACTTCTTCTTCTTCTACTACTACTACTTATTGTTGTTATTGTTGCTATTTTTATTATTTGCAGACGGGTGCAAAGCCCCCCTTTTCCTGCTAACTGCCGAAATGACGCACAATCCAACGGTCATTAAATGAGACCTTGTCCATTGAGGACCACCCATCCATAAATTCAAGCTGCAGACCCCTCTTTTCAGCCCTCTTTTCAGCCCAGAGCTGAGCCCTTCCTTGATTCTCCAAGCTGGCGCTCCCAGGACACCGTGTCCCCTTTAAGGACGGCGGAAGAGATACCGTCGCAAGAACAGCAAGAGAAGTTGGTTCTCATGGCTGAGGGATATTTCGGGAGAAACCTCCAAAAATAAACGCTGAAAGGCCGCAACGGCCACACGGCCCCAAGGATGGCGGAGGGTCCCCTGGGGGAGACGGAGGGGCTGGTGTCTGGAATGCTTCCCCCCCCCCCAGTCTGTCTGAAGACAGATCGGCTGAGCCTTTTGGGGTGGGTCTCCTGAGAAGCTCTCTGGAGGAGGAGAAGGAGGAGGAGATCCAGCAGGAAACGGAATAACAGGGTTGGGAGGGACCCTGGAGGTCTTCTAGTCCAACCCCCTGCTCAAGGAGGTGGGTGAGGAGACCCTGTTATACCATTCCAGACAAATGAAATAGAAAGAAAGAAAGAAAGAAAGAAAGAAAGAAAGAAAGAAAGAAAGAAGAGAAAAGAGAGAAAAAGAGAAAGAAAGGAAAGGAAAAGAAAGAGAAAGAAAGAAAGAAAGAAAGAAAGAAAGAAAGAAAGAAAGAAAGAAAGAAAGAAAGAAAGAAAGAAAGAAAAGGGAGGAAGGATAACAGGGTTGGGAGGGACCCTGGAGGTCTTCTAGTCCAACCCCCTGCTCAAGGAGGTGGGTGAGGAGACCCTGTTATACCATTCCAGACAAATGAAATAGAAAGAAAGAAAGAAAGAAAGAAAGAAAGAAAGAAAGAAGAGAAAAGAGAGAAAAAGAGAAAGAAAGGAAAGGAAAAGAAAGAGAAAGAAAGAAAGAAAGAAAGAAAGAAAGAAAGAAAGAAAGAAAGAAAGAAAGAAAAGGGAGGAAGGATAGCAGTTGGAAGGGACCCTGGAGGTCTTCTAGTCCAACCCCCTGCTCAAGGAGGTGGGTGAGGAGACCCTGTTATACCATTCCAGACAAATGAAATAGAAAGAAAGAAAGAAAGAAAGAAAGAAAGAAAGAAAGAAAGAAAAAGAGAAAGAAAGGAAAGGAAAAGAAAGAGAAAGAAAGAAAGAAAGACAGACAGAAAGAAAGAAAGAAAGAAAGAAAGAAAGAAAGAAAGAAAGAAAGAAAAGGGAGGAAGGATAGCAGTTGGAAAGGACCCTGGAGGTCTTCTAGTCCAACCCCCTGCTCAAGGAGGTGGGTGAGGAGACCCTGTTATACCATTCCAGACAAATGAAATAGAAAGAAAGAAAGAAAGAAAGAAAGAAAGAAAGAAAGAAAGAAAGAAAAAGAGAAAGAAAGGAAAGGAAAAGAAAGAGAAAGAAAGAAAGAAAGACAGACAGAAAGAAAGAAAGAAAGAAAGAAAGAAAGAAAGAAAGAAAGAAAGAAAGAAAGAAAGAAAAGGGAGGAAGGATAGCAGTTGGAAAGGACCCTGGAGGTCTTCTAGTCCAACCCCCTGCTCAAGGAGGTGGGTGAGGAGACCCTGTTATACCATTCCAGACAAATGAAATGAATGAAAGACAGAAAGAAAGAAAGAAAGAAAGAAAGAAAGAAAGAAAGAAAGAAAGAAAAAGAGAAAGAAAGGAAAGGAAAAGAAAGAGAAAGAAAGAAAGAAAGACAGACAGAAAGAAAGAAAGAAAGAAAGAAAGAAAGAAAGAAAGAAAGAAAGAAAGAAAGAAAGAAAAGGGAGGAAGGATAGCAGTTGGAAAGGACCCTGGAGGTCTTCTAGTCCAACCCCCTGCTCAAGGAGGTGGGTGAGGAGACCCTGTTATACCATTCCAGACAAATGAAATGAATGAAAGACAGAAAGAAAGAAAGGGAGGGAGGGATAAAGGATAGCAGAATAACAGCGTTGGAAGGGACCATGGAGGTCATCTAGTCCAGCGAACCTTTTAGAGACCGAGTGCCCAAACTGCAACCCCAAACCCACTTATGCATTGTCAGGTGTCAGGTGGGTGTGGCCCATTGGGTGGGTGTGGCCCATTGGGTGGGCGTGGCTGCAGTGGTAAAGGTAGACTGGGTGAGACTAAAAAGTTCAATCAATCAATTCCAGCTTTTCCCCTGCAAAAAGTTGAAATTGACTGATTGATTGAACCTTTTTTTTTTTTTGCACACGGCGGTGGAGGTCTAAAGCAAAAAGGTTTTATAAAACCCAGCTGAAGGCCTAGGACTGGGGCGACGGTGCGTGTGCCCACAGAGAGGGCTCTGAGTGCCGCCTCTGGCACCCGTGCCATAGCTTCGCCACCACGGCCCTATCCCATTTCGGACAAATGGCTGTCCAGTCTCTTCTTAAAAACCTCCAGTGATGG